AAGGAAGATGGCAACAACTATTGAACAGTAGCATGCAGCAGCTTTCAATGGAGCGCTCCATTGAAAGTTAAAAGTTCTCTTTTCTGTTGCTGTTGTTCAATAAAAGTATGTTTTTAGGTCGTTTGAGGTGAGGTTTTGGCTCACGTTACAACAAAAATTTGGGGGTTTTGTTGAAACGTGAGCAGGAAGAGGCTCTACGTTCATTAATTTTTTAGAGGAACGTATTCGCTGTTTTACCGACAGGCTGTTTGTTTACACTCCCCCTTCAGCTTTCTGTCACGCTTACTACGTCACAGTTGCGCTCATTGGTCAGAGCGTTGGCCAATAGGCACAGACATGGATTGAAAAACAACTGGTTGTTCTCATCAACAATCTTCTGATGTCTCATTCATAGGGGCAAGACTAAATTACACATTTAATCTCACATTTAGTGTGGTTTATCAGGCTACTGAAATTCAGAAATTTTGACATTTATTGGCCTCATTAAAGCTGCCAAACCAATGAAGAGACTCTAGTCCTGCAGAGCTGAAATAAAGATCCGATGAAGCCCCATCTTTCAATATAAGCTCTTACAGCTGCGAGCTAACAGGAGCTAGCATTCTTTTTTCTCCCGACTCCAGGGGCTATATGTAGAGCTCCCCCTATAGGTTTGGTGGGAGACAGTTCAGTAGATATCAGAGGCTTAAAGCTAGGTATGGATTATATATGTACATTTCCAGTTTTTAAAAATAATTTTGTGGGCGCTGCTTATAGTGAGCTGCGCTCTATAGTCCAGAAAATACGGTAGGCCTCCTAAGACATTTTGAAGTGGCATTCATATATAAAAGAAAATACTCCAACATAGACAAACAAGCTGCACCAACAAGCTACTTTGTAGCAGCTTAAAGAAAAACAACTTGTTTAGAAAATGAAAAACACAGCTTCAAATAAAGTTTCAAAATAGGTTTTTAAATTGAGGGCATCATCAATCCAAAATACCCAAATCCCAAATATTTACATGTGTTAACCAGCTTATTTAATTTCCTTCACAAAAGAATACAAAGGTATCCTTTAAAGTACCTTATATCTAGAAAAAAGCTATTGCTGTGCACCAAACACTTGCAATCCAGTAATCATGCATCCCTGTTTGAATAGTGCTACATTTTCATTGGCATCATCTTCTTAGTTGGAAGCCCCAGCTGAAAAACAAAAAATCAGAAACAAGATATTTTTAAAAAGCAATGAAAGATCTATTATGAATAATTTAGATCATAATATTTACACCCCAGTGTTTCAGATATCACAAACTGAAATAGTCTTTGATTAAGATGTAAACGAAAACTGTCAAGCACAGTTTATGCAAAAAAAGAACACAGTAAAACATTACAAAAAATAAATAAATCTGTGAAAAAAATCCTTTTCTTCAATGGTACAAAAAACATTCAAATAATCTAAAATATGTGCAAAATGTGGTTTTGTTACATATGTCTACGTTGGCTGCACCACAGCTGATCTTTGTGAAAGAAACAGATAACACTGGCTGATCAGATAAATAAACGCTCTGATTTTTGTTTTTCAAAAACCATTGTCCCTTATTGTCATTCCAATCAGAAGTTGCTTAGACTTTTTCCTGCCTGCTGGGGCGCTCCTTTAAAAGACGACCAATAATTAACAATCTAGATTAGGGATCTTCAACTCTACTCCTCGAGGTCTGGAGTCCTGAGTCTGATAAGAGGCCAATAGCAGAATTCTGGAGGAATTGGCTCAATCGGAATAAGCATATTAGGACATGTAAGACAAAGAGGAAGCTCATAATAAGTTGCCATAGTAAGTGCTGTCCAAATAGTGCTGGCAATAAGGAAGGAGTAGGAAGAGGCAGCAGGATGCTTCCTAATAATTGTTCTTTTAATACTAGCGATACAACAAATATGGCAATTACAGCAACATGACACCTGTGGTAGACGCACAGTCACTGTCTCTGGTAGTATGGCATCACATGTATTTCAAAACGCCCACAAGCAAAATAAACATACTCGCCGGTATGTTTAACTATTTCTGTGCATGGTTTATCTACCACCGCACAACAAAATTACACATGCGTGAGAAACTGCCGCTTCAAGAGGAGACAATCGCTCTCTGTGCACGCTAGCTACTGCCACGCACACCCGGGATCATCCTCAGGATCTCATCGTGTGCACAATTTTCTATACATCTGCCAAACTCGAGGACGGCTGCGCTCTCGAAAGCCTCTCTGTCCTCGGATTGATTTTCTCGTCACACAAACGAAAATGCATTTTGTCTGGTTGGGTGGACACAAGCCTCTTCTGTAAGCCTCCTCTTGTTTGGGTCTTGCAGACACGATCACACGGGAAGTAGTGTCAGGAAGCCTTTGACTGACACTTATCACTTATCCCATGTACCGCAAACATTGGAGAAGCCTCCACCACTGTTCTGCCTCTATCCGTCGTCTTCATTTGTGGATGATGAGCTGTCAATCAAAGGCTTTTTGACACTACTTCTCATGTGATTGTGTCTGCAAGGCCCAATCAGGAGGAGGCTTACAGAAAAGGTTTGTCTCAACCTGTCAAAACGCATTTCCCTTTGCGCGAGGAAACTAAACTAACTAAAAACGAATTGTCCCAAAAGGGTAGAACCGTAACAATACTGAGGAATTCATTCAGCCATTGGATTCAGGTGTGGAGGCAAAGATGCAGGACACCTCCAGGACTGTCATTACAGAACCCTGGACTCTATGGACAGGCCAAAAAGGAGCTATTTCTGTTGCCTGATGTCACTACAATTTGCAATAACAGTTATTATCCATACAATAGCACAATGATTTAAATAGATTACCTTTTTGTAGATAGATTTCTTAGCCTTTGAATTTCGAGAACATTTCAAAAGTCCTTTGTTCTCAAAAAACAGACACTCTACCAGGAGTTGAATGGCTCCGTTGTCCAAGTTCCTTTTGTCTGGTAAAATGTAGTCTGGGTCGTAGGTATGATGCATTGCCACCAGAATCACACTGCCATTGCCTTTGACATAGAGCCAGAGTGTGAGTCATGCAGTAAAAATACATGTATAAACATAATACTGATGTATATTTACCTTGCACAGCAGATAAGGCTGACCGAATGTCTGTCTCGAAACGACTAACGATAGGGCAGAAGACAATTGTGTAATCACTCTCTCCTGGGTCAGATACTTCTTTTGCGCCACGTTTCTTGAGTCTTTTTATTATTTTGTTATGAGAATCAAAGGTGTTCCCAGAAACATGTGAAAAAATCTTAACCATTTTTCCTAAAAAAAAAGAGAAAACAATAAAATAGATTTTACTCAATCCGAGCTTTGCAAATTGCAGTTTTGCAAAGAAACATTTAGTAAAAATATTTTTATCTGTTGCCAAATTTTAACATTTGAAAATGTATTTTGAAGGCCAAATCACGGTTTAGGACCAGGAACCTTTTTAAAAAAAAAACCTTAGGCTGAATGATGCTGTTTCTAGGTATGCACTAGAGACTGACACAGGAGTGGATTTTCACTCCTGTCCCGTCCCACTCCCACAGAAAAAAATTGTGTCCCGTCCCGATCCCGGGCCAGAGTAGAAATCTAAATCCTGTCCCGTCCCACTCCTGGTGAAATTACTCCCACTCCCAT